ACAGATACAGCGGGGCTCACGGAGATGACAGATACAGCGGGGCTCAGCGGAGATGACAGATACAGCGGGGCTCTCGGAGATGACAGATACAGGGGGCTCAGCGGAGATGACAGATACAGGGGGCTCAGCGGAGATGACAGATACAGCGGGGCTCACAGAGATGTCAGGTGAAGGATGAGGATGCAGGGCACACAGCCCATATATAAATACATATATTTATAATTATATATACTTAATTAAATATATATAATTAATATTTATATACATAAATATAAGTATATATATTTATGTGTATGTGTGTTTTCCTGAATGTATGTCAGATTCCTGCCAGAGTCCATGGGGTCAGAAGAGGGCATCAGATCCCCTTGAAGTGGCGTTACAAGGTGTTGTCAGCTGCCGTTTGGATGCTGAGAACCGAACCCTCATTCTCCACAAGTGCACTGAGTGCTCTCAACCCCAAAGCCCACTCTCTTATCCTTCTTCACATTCTATTTTGAGGCAAAGTCTCACTCCAGCTGGAGCTGTCCAGTTCTGTTAGACTGGCCAACAAGCTGCAGTCCTGGCATAAGGAATGTGCCACCTCCTTTTACATGGTTCTTAGGCATGGAACTTGGGCCCTCAGGCCTGCACAGTGGACGCTGCTAGCTGACCATCTCTGAAACTCCTCACATAGCTTCTGTTTGTTAGCCATGCTACGTGTGTGCTGACAATTTACTTTGCATGCCTTGGATATTGTTGTTGTTGCCATTGCAAAACAGTGACTTTTGTCTGTGTTTGTTTCTGGCTGTACTGAAGATGAAACCCACAGCTTGGACTCGAGCATGCCAGGCAGATGTCTCTAACATTGAGTCACAGGGAGAGTGGACACTGTGGTCACTGTTTATTTAGTGGCTCCTGTGAAGGGACTGTGGGTGGCCATGTTGTAATGAGAGTCCACTGTCAGCATAATGGCCAGCAGGATTGGACATACATTTTACTTTTGTTTTTTTTGGGGCTGGGGTGGGGCTGGGGACTCTACCTTAGCCGTATTTAGTCTGCCAAGATTGGGGAGTGGCTCTGGGGGTGCTCTGGGGGGAGAGACCTGGCTCCTCTGAGCCTCCAAAGTATAGGCCTTGGCTGCCACTCAAACAGTGACTAATGTCTTTGTAAGATGGGGTGATGGTCAGCAACCCCAACCTTCAGCTGTCACAGCAGTGACCGTGCCTACAGTACTGAGAGCCTGACAGTCTGCTCCTGCTAGCCATGCCTGCTCCAGGAGCTGCCGGGGGGTTGGAGTTAGTGAACTGAGAGCGAGGAGGGGAGACAGTTGCTCCAGGGCCTCCTGATGGAGTGTCTTGTGTGCAAGCCTTTCCTCAGGTTAAAATTTGTTTTTCAATTTTATTTTTATTTTATGTGCATGGGTGATTTGCTTGCATATTTCTGTATACCATGTGCATGGCCAGTAACAATGGAGGCCAGAATTGGGCATCAGATCTGGAATTGGAGTTGCAGATGGTTGTGAGCCACCATGTGGTTGCTTGGAATTGAACTCAGGTACTCTGGGAGAGCATCCGGTGCTCTTAACTGTTGCACCATCTCTCCAGCACCCCTCAGGTTAATTTTATTTTGTGGGACTAGAGAGATGGCTCAGCGGTTAATACCACTGCCTGCTCTTCCAGTGGATCTGTATTAGACTCCCAGAACCCATAAGGTAGCCCCCACACAATCATTTGTAACTTCAGTTCCAGAGGGTCTGCCGCCTTCTTCTGGCTGCTGCAGGCATTGCATGCATGTGCTCTACAGAGATGTAAGCAAAACATCCATGCACATAAAATAAAAATAAGTAAATCCCATTTTTATTACTTTTAAGTGTGTCTGTGTGTGCGTGTGTGTGTGCGTGTGCGTGTGTGTGTGTGTGTGCATGACTACAGGTACCCTCAGAGGTCACAGGCATCAGATTTCCTGGAGTCGGAGTTATAGGTAGCTGTGAAACAGTAGGATGTGGGAACTGAACTTGGGTCCTCTGCAAAAGCAGTCAGGGCTGACCCACCTCTCTGGCCCGGTTCCCTTAATTTTGAGTTGCAGTCCTCTGTGGCTGCCAGTGGGAGCCTGTGGCTCTGCCTCTGGGTCTCCCTGACTGGCCATCCTCTCTCCCAGGTTGTCCTTCTACTCTGGCCACTCCTCCTTTGGCATGTACTGCATGTTGTTCCTGGCGGTGAGTGTCCATCTTCTTCCCAGGGAACCTTCCCTGGGCCTTGGTCTTCCCTACTGCACAATGGGTGTGTGGAGGAGGCACTAAGGGTAGGAGGATTTGTGACTCCTTCCCTGGGCTGGGCAGGCTGAGCACAGTTGATGGCAGGCTGATGTCCCAACAGCTATACGTGCAGGCCCGGCTCTGCTGGAAGTGGGCACGGCTGCTGAGGCCCACTGTCCAGTTCTTCTTGGTGGCCTTTGCAATCTATGTGGGCTATACCCGAGTGTCGGACCACAAGCACCACTGGAGTGACGTCCTTGTCGGCCTCCTGCAGGGAGCCCTGGTGGCCTGCCTCACGGTGAGTCCTGTTGGCCTGTCCTACAGGATCTGCTCTGCCTGTCTCCAATGTTCCATGACCTCTGCCTGCCCTTCTGCTCCCAAGAGCTTTGCCCCTCACCACTGGCCCCACCCATCACATTACAGCCCTCCTCAGCTTCTCTCTTGGGGCTCCCAGATGTTCTTCCAGCCCTACTCACTGCCTTCCCCCTCCCCAGGTCCGTTATGTTTCAGATTTCTTCAAATCCCGGCCGCCCCGGCCCTGCCAGGAGGATGAAGAGCCAGAGCGTAAGCCCAGTCTGTCCCTGACGCTGACCCTCGGTGACCGACCCTAGATGCTATGCTTTGGAAGCTGGGAAGCCACCTGTGGGCCAGTCATGTGTTGGCTCCTTGTCCCTGATCAGGCACTGCTGGCTTTGGAGCTGCCCCAGTGTCCTGGCTGGTGACTGTGGACCAGGGTCTTGGGTGCCTGTCTGGCTGTGAGTGTGGGCGGGGCCTACCATCATCGTTCCTTGACTGTCACATGGCCTCAAAAGGTCCTGCTCTGACGGCTGTCTCCTGTCACCAATGGGCTTTCGAGGAGGGCCATCGCAGCATGGCCCCAGGAATGGTTGGTCTGAGACTGTTCTTGAAGTTGGCACCCTCCTTGATGGCCCTGGAGGTGATGAACACTTTGTTTGCTTGTGTGGGGCAGTTGGCCTTGGCCCTGGGCAGGGATCACAAGTGTGAAGAGGGCTGTCAACCCTTGGGCTGCCTAGGAGTCCAGGTTGCCTGGAAGGTCACACGTAGCTTTTGGTCTGAATCCTTTTCTCAAGTCTGCGGAAGGTTACAGCTAGAGGCCTTCAAGCCCCTCCCTCAGGCTTGATGTCCTATCCTGTCCCCACTCTGTCTATATGGACCAAATATGTAGCCAGGCATTGGAAGGAGGTCCTGGATCTGCCATTCCCATCTGTTTCAAAACACTTCAAGTTACTGTTTCTTGGGAGGGTGTGTTATAAACTGTGTACCAAATGTCTCTGCTGTGCGTGCTCATTTTCAAGTTCTGGTGAGACAGATGGTCCTCTTGCACCTAACTTACTCTTCAGTGCATTGTGCTGGACCTACCACTCTTAGCAGAGACTTAGGGGACAGAGACCTGGCCTGGGTGTTGTGTATGTAGGTCAAGACAGAGGCCTCATAGCCACCCTGGCTTTCCTCTGTGTGTGGTGGATGCTTCTCCTAGGCCCACTTAGAATACAGAGACCCTTCATGGCCAGTGCTAGACAGGTGCCTGGTCATGCTTCCAGGGTGCCTGGCCAGTCTCCCAGGGGCAGCAGGAGAGGCAACAGGTCTTGTTTTATCCCAGGACAAGGTGTGTGTCTTTCTAGGAATGGGCAAGCTCCTTATGTACTCTTCAGGTCTTTGGGTCTGGGAGCATGGGGGACAGTAGGAAGTATTGATCCCTCCCACCCCCCATTTTCTTCCTCTCCTTAGAGGCTGGGTCATGATCATGTCACCAGGATCCTGGATGCCACTGGCAGACACTGGAAGCCAGCAGGCCCACGGAATTCAGCCCAACTCAGAGAGCATGCTGGGTGCCTCTGCACTTGGTAGCTGGTGTTCAGCCTTTGACAGCCTGCATTTTCATGGGGATCCTCCTGGTTAAGTGACCACCTGCCAGTGTCCTCCAGCCAATGCTCTGAATAGCAGGGTCTCACCTGTTCTGTTAGGGGCAGAAGGTCCCAGTGAGAAGGTGCGCTCATGTCCTGAGCACAGCAGGATTCTGCTTGTACAGATCTTCTGTTTGGCCAAACTGCAGCTGAGCTGGGCCTCTCCTAGGCACCCATGCCTGCTTGTCTGATTCAATGCTGGGTGCTGACTCAGTTTAGCAAGCACAGAGACTGTGGCTGTGACAGAGACTCCTAGTGACTAGCACTAGGAGGCTGAGGTAGGAGGATAGTGAGTGTGAGACCAGCCTGGGCTCCAGTGATTCTTCTGTGTCTGTAAGTGTTCGTGTGTGTTTGCATGTGGAAGTCAACCGCAAGTGTCTATTCTTAGATGCTTTCCTGTTTGTGTGTGTTTGAAACAAGGTTTCTCATTGGCCTGGAACTTCACCAAGTAGGGGACTTCACACTGTCGATTTCACACTTCACTCCAAGCCCCTAAATCAGTGGTTCTCAGCATGAGGGACGCAACCTCCACAGGGGTCACATCGCAGACACCCTGCGCATGAGATATTTACATTATGATTCATAATGGTATCAAAATTACAGTTATGCAGTAGCAATGGAATCATTTTGTGGTTGGGAGTCACCACAACGGTGTCACAGCGGTGGGAAGGTTGAGAAGCCCTGCCATAGAGAGAGATGAGTTATTTACAAACAGAGCAGGCCCTGGAGCAGGCCCAGTGGCTAGTGTGCATGGAAACTAACCCATGATGTGTGGTGACTTCGTCATCAGTGGTATCTGATACCCTCTTCTGACCACTATAGGCACTGTACACGTGTGCATATACCACCCCTCAGTCCCACACACTTAAAAGAAAAAATATTTATATATATGTATGTATGTATGTATATATGTATGTATGTGTATGTGTGTATGTATATATGTATGTATGTATGTGTGTGTCCATATGCATGTATGTGTGTATGTGTGTATGTATATATGTATGTATGTATGTGTGTGCATATGTATGTATGTATGTATGTGTATGTATGTGTGTATGTATATATGTATGTATGTGTGTGTCTATATGTATGTATGTGTGTATGTGTGTATGTATATATGTATGTATGCATGTATGTGTGTATGTATATATGTATGTATGTATGTATGTGTGTATATGTATGTGTATGTGTGTATGTATGTGTGTATATGTATGTATGTGTGTATATGTATGTATGTATATATGTATGTGTATGTGTGTATGTATGTATGTGTATGTGTGTATGTATATATGTATGCATGTATGTGTGTATATGTATGTATGTGTATGTGTGTATGTATGTATGTGTGTATATGTATGTGTGTATGTGTATGTATATATGTATGTATGTATGTATGTGTGTATATGTATGTATGTATATATGTATGTGTATGTATGTATGTATGTATGTGTGTATGTATGTATGTATGTATGTATGTATTTTCATTCACTTTACATTCTGATTGATGCCCTCTCTCTTGGTCTTCCCCTCACACAATCCCTCCCCCTGTCACCCATCTCCTTCTCTTAGAGGATCTCCCTTGGGTGTCCCCCCACCCTGGTGCATCAAGTCTGCACGATTAGACACATCCTCTTCCACTGAGGCCAAACAAGGCAGTCAAGTTAGGGACACGTACTTCACAGCTTTAGGGATAGACCCCACTCCAGTTGTTGGAGGACCCTCATGAAGACAGAGTTACACATCTGCTACACATGTGCAGAAGGCCTAAGTCCAGCCCATGCATACATCTTTGGTTGGTGATTCAGGCTCTGAGAGCGTGACTTCGTTGGTTTTCCTGTGGCGCTCCTGTCCCCTTCCAGGCCCTCAATCCTTCCCGAACTCTTCCAAAAGAGTCTTGTGATGGCTATTCCTGGTTGCCAACTTGACTATATCTGGAATGAGCTACAATTCAGAATTGGGGGGTACACCTGTGATCCAGATCTTGAGGCTGGAAGACACAAATTTCTGGTCTGGATCTTGGCGTGGAGATCCTGAGGCATTAGTGGACATGAAAAGCTTAGGCCCAGGCAAGGTGGTACACACCTTTAATCCCAGGAGACTGAGGCAAGGAGATCTCTGAGCTCAAGGTCAGCCTGGGACAAAGCAAGTCCCAGATCCAGGTGTGGTGGTACACACCTTTAATCTAAGCCACACCTTCTGCTGGAGACCTACATAAGGAGATTGGAAGAAGGAAGACTCACTCTTCTTCACCTGCTTGCACTTACTTGCCAGCACATCTGTTGGAACCTACTTCTACAGAAGACCAGCTGAAACAACTAGCGTTGTGGGACTGAGCAACGACTAGACCCTTGGACTTCCCATCCACAAGTACTCATTCTTGAGTTAGTTGGATTATAGACTGTAAGTCATCCCAATAAATTCCCTCAATATAGAGAGACATTCTGTAAGTTCTGTGACTCTAGAGAACCCTGACTAATACAAGTCCCCAAGTTCCATCCCACGTTTGGATGTAGGTATCTGCATCTATTTCAGTCAGCTTCTGAGGAGACCCTCTCAGAAGACAGTTATGTTAGGCTCCTGTTTGGAAGCAGAACAGACGATCGTTATAGTGTTATGGTTTGGTGCGTGCCCATGGGATGTGTCTCAAGGTGGACTGTCATTGGTTGGCCGATCTCTTAGTCTCTGCTCCATCTTTGTCCCTGCATTTCTTGTAGACAAGATAAATTTTGGGTCAGAAGTTTTGTGGATAGGTTGGTGCCCCTGTTGCTTCACTGGGGTTCCTGCCTGGCTACAGGAGGCGGCCTTTTCAGGTTTTGTCTCCACTGCTGTGAGTCTCTGAGCTAAGGTCACCCCACTGATTTCTGGGAGCCTCCCATCCTAGGTTTTGGGCATGTCCTTGTGATGCCCCAAACTCCTAACCTCCTCTAGCTGCAGATTCCCATCGATTTTCCTGGCCTTCTAGGCCCCTCTCCTGTCTCCCCACCTGATCCTGAACCCCTCATTCACCTCCCTATCCCCTCTCCCACCCGGTCCCCTCCCTCCATCTGCCTTCTATGACTGTTTTATTTTCCATTCTAAGTGAGAATCAAGCATCCTCGCTTGGGTCTTCCTTCTTTCTTACCTTCCTTGGGTCTGTGGACTGTAGCATGGGTGTCCTGTACTTTATGGCTAATATCCACTTATAAGTGAGTACATACTGTGCGTGTCCTTTTGGATCTGGGTTACCTCAGTCAGGATGATTTATCAAATTTCATCCATTTGCCTGCAAAATTCATGATGAATTTGTTTTTAATAGCTGAATAGTATTCCATTGTGTAGATGTACCACATTTTCTTTATCCATTCTTCATTTGAAGGACATGTAGATTGTTTCCAGTTTCCGGCTGCTATGAACATAGCTGAGCATGTGCTCCTGTGGTGTGCTGGGACATATTTTGGGTCTACGTCCAAGAATAGTATAGCTGGGTCTTGAGGTAGTACTATTCTCAATTTTCTGAGAAACCATCAAATTGATTTCCAAAGGGGTTTTACTAGTTAGCACTCCCACCAGCAGTGGAGGAGTGTTCCCCTTGCTCCACATCCTCCCAGTCACCTGCTGTCTCTTGAATTTTTCATCTTAGCCATGCTGATGGGTGTTAAGATTGAATCTCAGGGTTGTTTTAATTTGCATTTCTCTGATGACTAAGCATGTTCTTTATTCATTTTATTTTATTTTTAATTTATTTATATTTCAGTTGTTGCCCCACCTCCACCCCTTGGTCCTCTCTCCCACAGTTCCTTATCCCATTCCTCCTCCCTTTGCCTCTGAAAGGGTGCTCCTCACCCCAGGCTCCCCCCTTGCCTGGGGCCTCAAATCTCTCGAGGATTAAGCATATCTTCTTCCTTTAAGGCCTGACCACATAGGCCTTTGCTATATTTGTGCCAAGTGCCTCAGACTGGCCTCCGTATGCTCTTGGCTGGTGCCTCAGTCTCTTGGAGGCCTGTACGTGCTCCTGGCTGGTGCCTCAGTCTCTGGGAGGCCTGTGTGTGCTCCTAGTTGGTGCCTCAGTCTCTGGATCTCCCTGTGGTAAAGTGAGACTGCTGGTCTCTCTATGGGGTTGCTCTACCATTCAGCTTCTTCAATCCTTTCTCTAAATCAACCACAGGGGTCCCTGACTTGAGTCCAATGGTTGGGTGTAAGTATCTGTTTCTGTCACAGTCAGCTGCTGGTAGGGCCTCTCAGAGGGCAGCCATGCCAGGCTCCGGTCTGTAAGCACATCAGTAACAGTGTCAGGCCTTGGTGCCCTCCCATGAGATTGGTCCCCAGTTGGGCTGGTCATTGTACGTCTTTCCTTCTGTCTCTTCTCCATTTTTGTCCCTTCAGTTCT